CACGCACATGCACAGAATATCACAGGGCCCTAACGTAGTGCGCAGCATGACGGTTGTCTCAAACCAGGGTCCTGGTTTTTTAAGGCTACCTTTTACAGGCTCAAAGTCCTGTAAGTTCCTTTAATCAGAAGAGTTCAGTTATACGATTCCGCAGTTTACGGTGCCAGAAAAATTTTTCCCTTGGTGGTCGAAGTACCAGATGGTGCCTTTGAGGCGCAGTTCGGCTAGTTAGGGGCACCATGGCTCTACAAAGCTTATACAGGCCAGGTCAAATGTACCATTCACAGTAGTATCGAGGTCCTGTAAATTTCTTCATCAAAATACCCCAGGAGACAACATTTGAGCCAAATCTGTCCACGGAGAAAAAGTCGGTCAAACTGGCTCAATTCTGGATGGTTGGGGCAGTAAAGGGTAAATAGTGCCCAATTTTCCTTCTTCCATATAGTAGCACTTCATAATTCTCTCCCAAACGTTGTGGGCTCCGGATTCTGGAACCGTTTGCAGAATCCTCCAAGTTGTACAAAAACTTACCACTGAGAATGAAAATGTTCGCTGCTGCAAATTCCCAACTATCACCACAAAATCTATACATTACTCCCATATAAGTGAGTTTGGATGTGGCAGCGAAGTTTCCACAACACATTCGCGTAGGCTCATTGCAATCCCTGGGGAGCTAAACAGAATTGGGTCGCTATTCTGACAAATAAGCCAGTCGCACATTTCCATGGAAGTATCGGTTCGATAGATTCGTATCACACAATTAGACTACCAATGTTTGCTGGCTTCAATCAATCGAGAATGATGTAATTCAGAAAAAAAAACGAGGAAATATTGTTTTCTGGACAACAAACCAAGCCGAGAGTGTTTATTATAAAAGTTTCGTGCGAAAAATTGGGGACAGGAAAAAAGTTTGATAAGTTCTTGTTTGCAGCACTGCTGGCAATAAATCACAACTTTTTCACAGCTCAGCCGTCGCATAAATTTCCTTCAATTTTCCTTCAACATTCTGGCTAATTAAGAAGCTTCCTCTGCAATCGCCGAGCTTCATCAAAGCAAAACAGCCTCAATCTCTTTTGAACAGGAGGATGTTCTGCACTCGTGATCATAGTTTCGCTAGTTCCCTCTGCTAGTTCATATTAACTAAGAGGAGCTCTCAACTCTTGTGAAGATGTGAAAAGCTGCAAGTGAGCCACTTCAGTGACAAGGAGGAGTTCAGCAAAAGCAGACTTGCTGGGAGCTTATTGGAGAACAATTTCATCTAACTGCATGGATTTCTTGGAAAACAAAAACAGGTAGTATGTCGATCCCTTCCTTATGATGCAATGCTTAGCAAAATAGCTCGGCGAGCGTGAAACTCTGGTTCAAGTCTAGGGAACAACATTTGCAGCAGTTCGGCGACGAAAGGGGCATTTTGCACTTTCGCCGCTTCACTAGTTCGGTTTACAAGTCTCACTCTGGTGAAACCTGTGAACTCTTGTGAAGCTGGAGCAAGCTCGTCAGCCACCATGGTAAAACCTGCCAGCTCGTGTAAGCTCATGAAATGGCTCTCTAGACGGGTCGAATGGGAACTAGCAAAAGTGCAAAATTTCCACCCTCCCCCCACCCGTTGCTGAACTACCCCAACGTTTTGTAGATACTCTAGCATTACAGGAGAATGTAGATCGCTCCGAAAGGGATAAACAAGTTGAAAAGCTCTGTTATATAACACAAATCAGCACATGATGCAGCACTTCTATGTTCCTTACTAGCTGTTGAATGTAAGTTATCATTGAAACCAGTAGACTATCTAAGTGCTTAGTTCATCGAAACTGAAATCACTGGCTTCTGATGAAGATGATGACGTTTATCCAGTGAAAGGCCTCCCCTAACACATGAAGTAACGAAAATATTGATGGCATCTTGACCAAGTCAGATAAAGTGGTGCAAGAAATACTTGCAGGAAATTAATGGGCTAGCGCTGCTTTCATACTTCCCTTGCCTGAAGTAAAAACAGCAGTGGAGTATTCACAAAAGAGAAAGATGCCGATAGAGAAAGGTGGGTGAAGACTGGCGAGAGGAAATGAGGTCTTTCTCCACTAGTAGAGATCCCAGACGATTTAGCTGGGATTCCTCTTAGACTCCAGAAATTCTAGCGACGTCCACGGAGCTACCGATACTTCTTGTTATGAACCTATTTCACCCCTATACAGCGAGAAGTTATCACAATATTGTTAAGTTATGAGCCTGAGCATCCAGGGGTTG